AGACTCTCAACAGTGCCATTAGTCTGTTTGATATTCTTTCTATAATCACAGACAAAATTAGAGGATGAGTTCTCATTTTTCTACTTACGTCTGTTAAAATGCCCAGAACACTTAGCAAGATAGGGTCTAAAATAGAAAGGTATTAAGTCAAGGAAAACTGGTTCCCTCCACTATTCTGATGCTGTGTTCCCTGAATCAATCAAGAGGACGTCGGCAAGGCCCTTGGCAGAGGGCTTTGAGGAAGGCTCACCAGCTGGCTGCTCTCCTGTTCTGTCCAGGCTGGAGTGGGAGGCACCAGGCGCTTCCTCTGATGTTCCCACATCAAAGGATTATAGATGGATTGAAGACCTTAGAAACCATCTCGTTCAGTATCTTACATTTAGAGAAAAGGGAGAGGGAAAATGACTGAGTTGGTGCCTCCTGACTGGTGAGGGTGCATTCAGGTTGGCCCCGTGTCCTTACAGCCTGGCAATGCTGCTTTTACCTCTTGGTGACATGTGACAAAGCAGTCAATAATAACAAAATGTTATATGGCACTGCCCTTTCTTAAATGTAATTTTAAAATATAAAGCCACAGTAAAAAAAAAAAAAATCTCAAACACAAACAAAGCCAATTTTGAAAATCTCATGGAATGAAAAGGGGAAGTTTCTACCCACTCAGCCCCTTGGTACTTAATGTTCTGAAGTTAGGACTGAGTAACCCCCAGTCAAAACTATGGTTGCTTCAGAGGGGTGAGAGGCGGTAGGCTGGTCCTGCAGAGATTGGGCTTAGGAGTCTAGTGGTGGCCACAGCTCAGGAACATCATCCGTCCTCTTTGCTCACAGGGACGATGCCACCATTAATGGCCTTGTTTCTTGTAAGCAACTCTTTTTTTTTTTTTCTTTTGAGAGTCTCACTCTGTCACCAGGTGCCAGGCTGGAGTGCAGTGGCACAATCTCGGCTCACTGCAACCTCTGCCTCCCAGGTTCAGGCAATTCTCCTGCCTCAGCCTGAGTAGCTGGGACTACAGGCACACACCACCATGCCCAACTAATTTTTGTATTTTTAGTAGAGACGGGGTTTCACCATGTTGGCAAGGATGGTCTTGATCTCTTGACCTCATGATCCGTCCGCCTCAGCCTCCCAAAGTGCTGGGATTTACAGGCTGGCTGTAAGCAACTCTTATCCATGCATGTTCCACAGAGATTTCATTTCTGAATTCTGCAGGTATCATGTTAAATTTCACATACACCACTTTAAGTCACACATACGCTGACTGAGGGTGGAGAGGTAAAGAATGTAATATTGGGCTGGGCGCAGTGGCTCACGCCTGTAATCCCAGTACTTTGGGAGGCTGAGACAGGCAGATTGCCTGAGCTCAGGAGTTCAAGACCAGCCTGGGCAACACGGTGAAACCCCGTCTCTACTAAAACACAAAAAATTAGCCAGGCGTGGCAGCATGTGCCTGTAGTCCCAGCTACTTGGGAAGCTGAGGCAGGAGAATTGCAAGAACCCGGGAGGCGGAGGTTGCAGTGAGCCAAGATTGCACCACTACACTCCAGCCTGGGCAACAGAGCAATACTCTGTCTTAAAAAAAAAAAACAAAAAAAAGAATGTAATATTAATGTATCTTCCCGCACTTTGCATGTCTTACCTCCTGTAGTCATAAGAGCAACCTCAAGAAGTACATGTTTTTATCTTAATTTGACAGATGTACAAATATAAGCTCAGAAAGAATTTCCACAAATACTTATGGCCACTAAGTGAGCAGGGCAGAATTAACCAAGAATCTTTCTGATGTGAAAATCCACGGTGTTTTAAAAACACACATTTCACAAACAGTCCATCTTAAATGACAGTTCCAGGGCCCAGGAATCATTCTGCCATTAAAAAGAATTCCCTGAAATAATCGCAGAGATTTCAAATACTAAGTATTTTTCAAATTCTTGGTACAGTATTAGAGATAAAAAATAATAATTATCAGGAAGTCTTATTCGGTGTTTCTATGTCAGGCAATGTTCTAAGTGCTTATTGGACATTAACTCATTTGATTATCCTAGCAATTCTGAGGCTCTGAGGGAAGTATTACTGTTCTTCCCACTTTATAGATAGAGAAACTGAGCACAGAGAGGGTGAGTAATTTTTCCAAGGTCCCACAGTAAGCGGCAGAGCTGGGGCTCACATCAAGGCGGTCTGCCTCTGAGACCCTGTGTTAGCCACTCTACTGTGCTGTCTGTCCTAGCCTTCCCCAACCCGAAGACCACATGAGTCAAACAATTTTTAGTAAGGCTGTTAGAAAATGAAACACTGAAGATTGAGATATCAAAAGTTATCTGAAAATACATGCTTTTTTTTAATATGGAAAGTAAAATACAGTAACAAACAGCGTGTGTTTTATAACTCTAAAGTTGCTGGAATAATCCTTGATCTCCATGAAAACCAAGCTAATGAACCTACAAAATTTAAAATTTATTTTCTTTTTTTTTTTTTAAAAAAAAGTCATTCAGTCCTTATAGCCAATTGAACTAATTCCTTCCCAGTCCCAGTGGGCTGTACCAACTGGGAAGGCCTTTGGCCAAATTGATATCAATACTATAGTTTTTGGTAGGAGAGGCACAGACTTGCAAAGCTAGCAGGTTTCTCTTACTTTATAACTGAGGAAACTGAAGCTCAGAAGGGCCAACATTCCCAGTGTTGGAATCAGACTTAGAACTGTCAGTTCTACTTGTATCTACGATTAAACCATCCACTTCACCACAGAGATTCATTAACTTCACTCTGCTTTAATCACAGAGATGGAATGAAATTTAAACAAAGCAAAAGCAATAACAGCAACAAAAGCAGCATCAAAGACATTTCAAGAAAGCAAGTGTCTGCACACCTGCTGCAGATCACACACAGCCACACATCTAGCCCCTAGTACATCCCATCAGCAGGTCTCTTTGGCTCTACTTTAAATTTGCCCAGAATTTTAGTTCAAGACATAATCATTTCCTGAAAGTCTCTTAAGTGATCTCCTTTGTTCAAATCAGATGTCCTCCCATCCGCTCTCCACACAGCAGGCAGAGCGACACTTCCAAAACATCACTCAAATCACATCACTCCTTAGCACAGGATCCCTCTGATAGCGTCCATTTTTCTCAGAGCAAAATCTGCATTGATATCCCGGCTCCCAGCTGTCTTCCCAGTCACCTCTCATACTCCTCTGCCCTTGCCTAGTGCTCTCTGTCCACACTGCATCTATGCTGTTCCTGGAATACTTCAAACATGCTCCCACCTCAGACTTTGGCACCTCCTCGTTTGTCTTCATTGACCTGGTCCCTTCCCAGAGAGCACCCTCACTTCAATCAGTTCTTTGCTGAAATGTTATGATAATAGACTGTCCCTCCCTGAATACACGATATAAGCCATCTTACTCATGCTCTACCCTTTGTCACCATTTTTCTTCATGGCAGTTACTGTCCCATAACATTGTGTGTGTGTATAAGTGTGTGTACATATACACCTGTGTGTATCTATGTGTGTGTACATATATAAAGGTGTATATCTATCTATATGTGTAAATATCTATGTGTATGTATACTCACGTGTATATTTGTGTGTGTGTATCTATGGGTGTATTTATGAATGTATCTATGTGTGTGTACATATATACAGGTGTATATATATCCATGTGTATATATGGATACACATAGATACAAATAGACTGTCAGGGAGGGACAGTGTATTATCATAACATTTCAGCGAAGAACTGATTGAAGTGAGGGTGCTCTCTGGGAAGGGACCAGGTCAATGAAGACAAACGAGGAGGTGCCAAAGTCTGAGGTGGGAGCATGTTTGAAGTATTCCAGGAACAGCATAGATGCAGTGTGGACAGAGAGCACTAGGCAAGGGCAGAGGAGTATAAGAGGTGACTGGGAAGGCAGCTGGGAGCCGGGATATCAATGCAGATTTTGCTCTGAGAAAAATGGATGCTATCAGAGGGATCCTGTGCTAAGGAGTGATGTGATTTGAGTGTGTATGTATACCCACATGTATATTTATGTGTATGTGTCTATGGGTGTATTTACAAATGTGTGTATCTATGTGTATGTATATCTATGTGTGCATATGTGTGTGTAACTATGTGTGTCTACGTATGTATGTGTCTATATGTGTAAATATCTCTGTGTGTATATATGTGTGTGTATATGTGTATCTGTGTGTCACCATGTGTGTATTTATGTATGTGTGTATTTGTGTGTGTGTGTTCATTTTTCCTAACAGAAATATAATCTCAAAAAAAAAAAAGAAATATAATCTCAAATGGAGCAGGAGCTGTGTTTACTTCGCCATTGCATCCCTTGTGTCTAGAACACAGTACATATTAAATATGTGTTGAATGAAAGATAAATAATTTCCGATCAGAGCGGAAATCTGAAACACAAAGTTAAATTATCTCCCATGTTAGAAAAAAGAATGTAAATAATTACATGCTGCACTTTAGAATGATGCTTTCATTTAAAATACATCAAATTTATTCTAGTGTTTAATACTTAGATACTGTAAAAAAATGTTTGCAGTTCATTATGTCTTACTGCCTCGAATGAATTCATGAACAGGTAAGGTTTTATTGTTGGGTGGCAACTATGTTGAATTTCTTTTGGTGGGTTAGATTTGCATTTATAAGATTTTTAAATTCTCTGTGCATAGTAAAATATATGATGTTCATGAGGCTTATACAATCACGTAGCAAAAGTAATATGAGTAATAGGTAATAGTGAAACATGCTATTTCTAGGCACTAGTCTAGACCTTTCACCTACCCTATATATTTAATTTTCAAAAAGCCTGTGAGGTAGGTAGGAACTATCATTACCTTCAACATATAAATGAGGAAACTGAGACACACAAATTAAAATATCCTAATCGAGGTCACATAACCCATCAACAGTGGCCAGAATACAAAAAGGCAGTTTGTCCATTCTTCTATTCAGTCATCCAATTTTTTTTACTTTAAAAAACACCTATTGTGTACTTACAATCTACCAGGAACTGAGTTATGTAACAAGGATGCAAAACAGGGATGCAATCTCTACGGTCATGATGATCCCGGCATAGGACAGAGGAGTGGACCAGCTGTCAGGCCGCCCAAGAGACCAGCTCCACCTGAGGAGACAAAAACCAAGGCAGGGAGTCAGTTCCTTCTCCCACTTTGGAGTCCTGTTTCAATGGTGGAGTCATTTAGCATCATAGAATGATCCAAATTCTCTGTTTTCCCTCCCTAGAGTCTTCAACTGAAGTCATAAAAGGGACTATTTCAGTCCTAAGTCACCTAAGCGTTAATGTTTGGTTCTGTGGGTGGCCTTGAATTTGTAACTCTGCAGCGTGCCACTCTTGCTTCACTTCATCCAGGTTTTTCTTGACATCTGAAGAGGCAGTATCTCTAGGGAGTGTATTTTTGTATTTCTCCATATGTTGCTTTTTGTCTCCTCACATATATTGCCAATAAGACTTGTGAGTTCCACCACAGGCCAGCTCTGCAACTTATGTTTAGTGTTGGCCTGGAAAGCAATATTATTATTTTCATTGGTTCATTTCGTTTCCTCTATTGTAGAGAGGATATTTTCTTGAATTTTCCCTCAACAGATGGAGGCATTTTCTTCCATCTTATCTTATCCATACTTTGTACACTGCTCACAGGTTTGTCTCATTCGGGATCATATTTGCTTCTACCTTTTATCAAAAATCTATTCAACAAAGTGCCCTCCCTCCATGTTAATCCTAAAGCTTTTCTTTTGGTTACTTTTCCTGATACTTTGCATTTTTCCATTCCTGTAGATTAAGGTCATTTTCTGCATAGTAGGTTCCTTGCCACAGTCTTCTCCTTAACATCTGGCTACATTGACCTTGGTTTCATCCAGAACATGACTACCACATACTACTGAAACCAGAGATGTGCCGATGCTGGAGAACTTTTCCTCTTTTTTCTTTCTCTTTCTCTCAGATAACACTGGCCTGAATAGATGAGAGGAATGGTAGGGAACTGATATAAAATATTAATAACCATTATTTTTTATTATTATTATTTTTTGAGATGGTGTCTCGCTCTTGTCGCCCAGGCTGGAGTGCAGTGGCATGATCTTGGCTCACTGCAACCTCCCGCTCCCAGGTTCAAGCAATTTTCCTGCCTCAGCCTCCTGAGTAGCTGGGATTACAGGCACCAGCCACCACGCTAAATTTTGTCTTTTTAGTAGAGATGGGGTTTCTCCACGTTGATCAGGCTGGTCTTGAACTCCTGACCTAAGGTGATCCGCCAGCCTTGGCCTCACAAAGTGCTGAGATTAAAGGTGTGAGCCGCTGTGCCTGGCCAATGACCATGGTTTTAAAGTTTTCACAGAGCAATCACTACAATGAGGCTGTTGTGAATTTCTCAGAAATAAAGAGGCATCCACTGGGCCGTATGTCCCATAAGGGCAGGTCTGAAGAAGTTTGCTTTGCCCACGACTAACCGAGGGCTGATCACAGCTCTTGTACTGGCAGGTGCTCAGTAAATGTATGTTAAACACATGAATGAATGCACACACTGCCAAGGAGGATTGCCACTGTGAAGATGGGCTAAAGTTGAGAAAGCTGAAATCGCAGGTTTTATTGGAAGGAATCTGCCCTCATTGGAATGGCTGAAAGAAATAACAAAGGTACTGGATCTGAAATACTTTAAGGAGGAAGAATCTTTCAGACAAAGCCACTAGAATTCCTTGGCTAGATTTTTTTTTATAGCTGTTGTCAACACCTGTGTTAGTCTGTCCTGTGTTACTCTAACTTTTTATAACTGATGAGTATTTTTATAGATGTTAATTGTTTTCCCTTCTACTCTAGATACGTTCTTAATAGCTAATTCTGTCTTACAAGGCTCATTTTTGGTGGGTAGTTTCTTATTAAGACAATCGTAATTCTAAGGATACAGAAACACAAACACGATCCTAATTAACAGACACACAAATTGTTTTAGACTGTTTTCCCTCTTACAGCGGAAAATAAAGTTAATATATTCATTAGTTATCTTTTGCTTATCTGTAGGTAAGAGGTTTTTTTTTTTTTTAAATCATTTTCACCTAACTTTGTGATTATATGCCAGCAAGAAATGAACTTCTACTGGCATTGTACAAGTATCAAACATTGGGACTGGACAGTCTTATGTACGAAGCAAGGGAAGAAGTCTACACTTGCACATTGATTGAAGGCACTGAGTCCACCTTGTGCAATCTGAGTCCTAAATGGAAGAGGATCCATGGGATCCATCTGTGAATCGCTCTGTGAAAACTTTAAAATTATGCTCATTGGCTGGGCATGGTCGCTCACATCTGTAATCTCAGCACTTTGGAAGGCCAAGGCTGGCAGATCCCCTGAGGTCGGGAGTTTGAGACCAGCGTGACCAACATGGAGAAAGGATGAAGCAGTGGTGGATCCCAGAGCAGGGATGAAGGCATTACGGTTCCCACTGCTGACTGTTGTTCTCTGCAATGCCTCACATCATGGCGTCTTTGGTGATGAAATCGCAAAGCTTCTCTATGCTAGATTCAAGATACAAAACAAGTGGCTGTATTTTAGAGTGGAGAACAAAGATGTGTGGTATGATGGCACAAGGAGCTGGAGTGAAATGCAGCCTTGCTGACGGGATGGGGGCACCACCAGCAGCCTGGCATTCTGTGCCTGGTAGCAGATGTCATGTACATGCTCCCGAGTCACAGCCACAGGCACATGGGGGACCCTGCAGGCGCCTTTCCACTGTTATTATTCGAGAGCTGTTTTCTTTAGGTGTTTGTGAAAGGTCAGCGTCTGATCTAATTCCGCCCACAGTTACACAGTTATAGTTGCCTTGACTGCATTTGTCACTCTTTCAGCATCAGCTGACATTCTATCTGCTCGCCAGTTTTCTTGCCAATTCCTTTTGGAAAACTATTTTTTCCCCAAATTTGTCATTTTACTTAAAAAAGACATCACAAAAGGGTCTTCTGTGCTATTGAGTTGTCTGTTTTTTGGCCATTCCTATTGGAAAAATCTCACATAAACCACTTCGCTGATGAATAAAATCATTTATTTAATCCTTATCCTATGTTTTTAACTGTTTCCAAACAATTATGAAACAATGAAAGATGACTTTCAATGAATGAAAACAATGAAAGATGAAAGATGACGTCGGCAAATTAGTAAGTGATTACATTAAAATGTTTTAGAGAACTGACAATAATATATTCTTCTGACAACACGATAATACATCCTTCCGACGATATTGACTTGAGGCTGAAAGAGCAGAGAGCAGGGACGAAGGCATTATGGTCCCAACGCTGAATGAACAAAATGCACAGGAAACCAGCAGAAGCCAGGCTGGGTCCCAGGCGTCTCACAAGCAGCCTCCCCAGACCAAGTCTGGGGGAATTGATCAGAATTGGCTTGTCAGCTGTCTTAGCCACATTAGCTACAATCCTGATCAAGGCACCAGGTCTGACTGGATGGTACCTGGAGATCTCTTCTCTATGATTCTTTGAGGCTCCTGGTTTTTATATTCCTAGTTGAATGTGATTGGGCCATTGACTCTGAGTCTACTTTCCTGAGGGATATTACCTTTTTGCCTCTCTGAGCTTTCTTCCTGATCAGATAAGATGGTGTAGGAAATAGTGCTTTGAAATTGATAAAATGCTGCACAAATGTTAGAGCTTATTAGGTTATGTGTGAGGATCAATCTCTCACTTTGGCATAAATCTGTGGCAAACTTTCTACCATTGGTTTATAAACTTTCAGCCTTGAACTGTTGAGTACCTGGTGAAAAATTATTTCTGATATTCATGTCTTTCTTTGAAGACCAAGGTTCTAGTCTATTTCTTTGCCACTTTTGTAACTGTGTGGAAACTGCAACTGCTGGATTTGGGTCTCCACTCATATCTTTTATGTTTCCTGGCTTGAATCTGGGAGGCAGAGGTTGCCGTGAGCTGAGGCCGCACCATTGCATTCCAGTCTGGGTGATAGAGGGAGATTCTATCTCAGAATAAATAAATAATAATAGAAAAAGAAAAAAGGACAGAAATGCAGAACAGCAAGGGCACAATTTTTGGCTGCTTGTTTTGTTGTCTTGAAGACCAACGTGGCCTCTTCCTGTTGCTGGGGCTCACACACCAATACCCCAAAATAGGGCACTTTGTAGATACTGGACTGAAAAAGCCTCAGTCTCCCTAACCACCCTTCTCCCCCAGCAACATCTCTCCCAAAGCACAGGATGAGACTGTTCCTGAACTTCCCTTATCTGCCTAAAATCTGGACCTACCTTAGAAGAAAACAATAACCTCTGGTCCTTTCCCCGAGTTTCCATTAACTGAACACATCACAGGAGGGAAGTTAAGTACCAAAGTCTGTCAACATATCTGGATAGACTTTTTGTCACAAATCACCATCTGCTCTGCGGTCCCAACAGACTTTTCCCAGACCATGGTATATTCTTCAAGCCCATTAAATCCCCCTAAAAATCATTTACTACCTGCCTAGCATCACCCACACTTCCTACCTCCCTTTCCCTGAGGAGTAGCATATATAAGCATCTGTGCCCCCCACTGGGATACTGGGTAACTGTTCTATGATTCTCCCTGTGTGAACAGTAGGAATAAATGTATAAAGACTTTTCTCCTATCAATGTGCCTTATTGTGAGCTGATTTTTCAGCAAACCTTCTGAGGGTAAAGGGGAGGTGGTCTACAGTTGTTCTGGGCTTGAGGGTTCGGAATCAGGTCGTATGAATCACCATGAAGCTCTCACCAACATGATAAAGGTAGGGTGTGATCTCGCCCATCTTCTCACTGCCCAGTGAGCACGGTTTCAGCCAGTGGTTGTTTCCAGGCATCGGTTGGACACGCTGTGTCTGGAAATCATGGTTAGTGAATGAAGCCGTGAGCAGCACTAGGCTCTGGGAGCGAAGTATGGAATTCCACAGCAATCACGTCGCCTCTCCTCCCCTGCACACCAGAAGATGACTGGCAGGAAGAAAAGCTCCTAGACACCTCTCGTCTGCTCTGTGCTTCAAGCCTCGCTACAAATAACACATTCACAAAAGGATCTCATTTTGATTTAGCAGGTCTGCATATGTCTAAGCTCATGGTGATGGTGCCTTACTGATATTTT